TGAGGGAGTATGTGTGTGTCTGTGTGTGTGTGTGTGTGTGTGTGTGTGTGTGTGTGTGTGTGTGTGTGTGTGTGTGTGTGTGTGTGTGAATTTTTAAAGGATTTTTTTTCGAAGATAAAGTATTTCTTTTAATTTTTGAAAACTCTCTGAAGTTTAGTTCCCTATTCTTTTTAGTTCATATTTCCAGTGTGCTTAGAATGCTTTCCTTTTTATGCTGACACTCAGGACAGTTTATGAGAAATGAGTTAATCTTTGCATGTGTGCCTGAGTATATATATATCTTTAGATGTGCTTGTAAGTACGTCTGTGGTTTGAAGGGAATAAATTATGATAATGAAAAACTTGAAAAGCAAAAGGAGCAGACGACACCAAAACTCTCACCGACCACTCATTTGTCATCAAGAAGACAATTTTTGGGGGTTTTTTTTAGGGTGGAGGGAGGTGTAGGGGAGGGGAGATTAACCCACTGGGCCCTATCATTCGCGAACCTACAGGACCTGTGCACCTTAACTCCTTTGGGTTAACTGCTAGATGGTATCAGTTGTCTAGTGGTTAGGTTACTGGATTTGCCTGGGATTCGAGGCTTAGTTCAGCCCCATGTTGTGTCCTTGAGGAAGCCACTGTACACAAATTTTCCTCACTCCGCGCAAGTGTGAAATGGGTACTCGGCAATAGACAGTGAAACATTATGTCAATATGTTACTGCTTTAATGTTAATGGCAGCTTCACTGTTTGTGTCCCAGAAATCCAAGAATGTTTCTGAGAATTCTAGAGTCTGCTTTTAAGTATGGATATGAGCTATATAAATATAATGATTATTATGATTATGATTAGGATGATGATCATCGTCAGCATCATCATCATTATTATTTTTTATTATTATTATTATTATTATTATTATTATTATTATTATTATTATTATTATTATTATTATTATTATTATTATTATCTTTATTATTATTATTATGGTGTTCAGTGCACAAAAGGGTATAGATAGTCTCAGTCAGCTATGCACTTGGCTTCATTGAGTTTATTGTACAGAAAATGCTCTGAGCACATAACCAATTATGGCTGAGGAAAGTCTTTATTTGAAAAGAAGATAGAATTAGTATTATTATTGAACTTTGAAATGACATACCTTTTTGTCTGTTGTATCTCTGTAGGTCTGAGTTTGACTGCTTCCAAATTGAGCTTGCTAAGAACTACGGTATGTCTGAGTGGAGAGAGGATCTCAGGCAGGTCATGATGAAGGCTGGTCTGGAGAATAAACCCATGGTCTTCTTGTTCAGCGACACACAGGTGAGACCTTGCTTGCTTGCTAGGCTGGGATTTTCACTTTATATCACTCAAACTGATGAGATGAACTGGAGAGTTCATTTGGTCGCTTTTAAGCACAAGGGGGCTATCCCGAAAAATGCTGTTTTGAGAAAATCGAAGGTAAAGTTTTTGCCCCTTATTCAGTTTCTTAAAAAAACAAGGAGAGTTTTCTCTCAAACCAAACAAATGTACACACCAACGAAACCAAACTTCTCCTACAGGTAGGGCAATGCCCACTTTTGGTGTAGGTCAAGGTTTCTGGAAACCCCCGAAATCTGGGTTAGCCTGCTTGTCCTTAAAAGCGACCATTTGATGACAATATATTTTAACAGAAGGAAAGTTTTTTGAAAGGAGAAATGAAGTGCTATGAGGCCATTGTCACTTTCTATATACTATATGCAATTATTATCATTATTATGATTATTATAATTACTATCATTATGATTATTATTATCATTATTTGACCAGTACAGCTATCTATAAAGTGAAACTTAAGACATGATGATATCTATTAACCCCTATAGACCCGGTTTGCAAATATTACTAACTATATCTAAAAGGAAGAGCTTTCTTTGTTCTGAGAAATATTCGCGAATGTGAATCTGTGATAAGTTTTACGAAATGCATCTAATAGAAACAGTATGCAGAATACAACCTATGATGAACGGCATTCAGCATCATGGTCCTCGCACTTTGCAAGGCATGACGAACGCCACACGTCACAACAGCGTCTTGGCTCATTCGCCATGTAAGAAAAAATGACGAACGACGTGCGTCATATAAGTCGTGAAAGGGTTAAATCAATTGCAGGTCTTT